TAAATCATAAAGATGTGTAAACGTTGCCACTTCGAAATTTTTTTAATAGAGATCTTAAATAAAAATGTTTTCTTTTAAGTTTGTTTTTAAGTTCGAATCAGTTTTATTTCAAAATCACCCACATTCTTAAATTTTCAAGTAACACTCAAATCAAATAACAAAAAAGACACTCAAAATAATTTCACTGTCCCTTTTTTATTTATTAGATCTATATCTTACTTATTAACTTATCTATAATTATATTTATAACACTCGGGCGTAACCTCGCTAATGCGTTAGTTTAACCTCACTGTCATTAGATGGCGCTCACTTGATTGCTTTGTATTATGCTTTTCTAGTCACCTTAAGAATCATATTCGGTACCTTACAAGATATTAAGATACCACTTCTGCATCAAAAATTAGCTGAGATAGCCTTAAAATTATACAAACTACGAGGCATTCCATTGAGGAGAGATGTCGCTAGTGACATGGTAATATCGAGCTCGTAAATAAAAGTAGTAAATAATTAGTTTTATAGTGATATTAACCTAATATTTGTTGTGATTCAGTATAACTGGTGATAATATATACTATATAATATTATCTGTGAAAAAACTGTAAGATTAATTACATAATTAAATAATTTAAATTGAAGTGTAAAAACGAGTTCAAAACGATAAAAACTTAGTAATTCTAACAATTGGATAGTGCCGTGAGTTGATTTTTACTTTAGTTATACCTAATCACCCAGATATATCAATATATAATTACACAAATCTAAAATTCCATATAGTATTATTATACCAGACGGTTACTCGAAAATTTGAAAAAAAAAAACTATATGACAAATACATCTTAACATTACTTATAACAGTGCCATCTAGTAAGATCTAATTGACTGAATTGGCACATAAAACTCAATAACATGGCATCTAAATTGAATGTGAAAACTACTAATAGCGCCCACAAGATGCCGGTAGTAGTAACATGTTATAAATATAAAAACTTACTTGATGAATGAATGAATGAAAACTGCACTATGTTCATTATGTAAAAATAGATACGATTTAATTGATAGAATGAGGCGTTACTTTGCGGAAATCCATTATAATAAAGATATTAATAGTTACTTTGCAACCATCTGCTCAATTAAATGAAATGATTTGCCTTACCCAGTTTGAAGAGCACCTCCAGGCCTCCCTCAATTGCGTGCACTAATCTCGTCTCTACTAATCCCAGCAGCACTACTCCCAACACCACTCTTCTAGGAAAGACACACCATCTACGATAATACGACACGTGTTTCACCTCTACACGAGGCATCTTCAGGTGAAGTAGACTCTATGGCGGCTGACCGCTAAGTTACCGTTAAGTTTGCTCCACATACATTCAGCGTAGCTAGACGGGCCTCCACAATCCACTGTTCGCCTCTCCGGGAGACATAACGTCACGGGTGGCGAATTTCGTCGCCGGTTTTCCTCCCGGAGATTCTTCGCACCCCTGCCCCATTAAAGAGGCGCCAGGAACTCGGGACCATTTCCTTTCTTTTTTGCCTCATGGTGCGAAAACTAGGGGGTGGTATATTTTACGCCACTACCACAAGGCGAGTAGCCGAGTCCGTTCTTTCGGCTTTGTCGCTCTTTTGGCACCACCCGGGGTAAACTTGTAGGGTGGGCCTAGGATTAGATGGTCAGAGGTTACGGACGCTAGCGACTTATTCCTACAAAGTAAACGATGTTTCTATCAAAATAAATATATTCGTGTGTGCACTTGAACAAATAAAAAACCTAACAAACATATAAACCGCTGTCATGTCCTACCATGCATACGTAGAACCATTACTGCGGTATGGTTCTATAATGTGGGCAACAGCACTGATCAAAATAAAGAATTTGTTGCGCAAAAAAATGCATTAGAACGATATATGGGCTAAAACCGAATGAATCGTGTCAATCGGTGTTTAAAAAACTTGGCTTGTTACCACTACCATCACTTTATATCTATGAAGTATGCATGTTTGTACAGAAGCACAAAACGTTGTTTACAACGGTAGATGATGTAAATTTAATGATGTAAAACGGTAGATAATGTGTGTAATGTACACTTATGTAATAAGATACCTAATTACTTAAAAATATTAAATACCAGATTATTTAAATTAAAATTACATCATGGGTTAAAGGATTGTAATTTCTATAGTATTCAGGATTTTTGTAGCCATAAATATTAATGTAAAAAAGATTTGCATGCTATGAATGACCGTAGCAAAACATACTGATCTGTAATGTTCTGTAAAATCTTTTAAATACCATGTTTTACGCAAATAAAATATTATTGTTATTATTATGGGGTATCTATATAGTTGTCTCGTCTGGTTTGGTTCTTTAAATATATAATTGTGAATGAAAATGATAAATATACATAAATAAATAAAAGCGGCAGCCCTCGGCAGGGGAGACCAAACGGCCGATGGTTAGGAGGAAAGGGGAAGAAACCGGCGGACGATGCGGGCGGTATCGGGGTGCACCGCCTTCTGCATTTGACCTCGGAGTGGTGCGTCACGGAGTCCCAATCGCCTCAGATAACCCGAGAGGTTATACGACTATAGGAATAATTTCGGTCGCCAGACCACCCCACATTTCGGTCACCTCGTGAGCAAGGTCTAGATTTTTTGTTTGCTTATCTGTTTCGGCTTTCACGAGGTTCTCATCATACGGAATGGTAATGTCGACCAAAAATATCGTTGACTGTGGGCGGTACGTCAGCATAATATCAGGCTTATTCGCAAGAATAGTCCTGTCTGTGATGATTGCTGTGTCCCAGTAGAGGCTGGCGCGATCATTTTTGAGCATGGCTTCCGGCAAGTACTTGTAATACGGCAACTTTCGGTCCATCGGACCGTATTTCCGAGCGAGCTCCTGGTGAAGTATTCTGGCTACTAGGTTGTGCCTGTGCAAGCACTCAAAGTTAGAAAGCGCCGAGCGACTGAAGGTGACATTCCTAAGTGACTCGCCAGGATGGCGACAAGCTCGACAGACGTTGACGGTGGATCCTTTAGGATGTATCTCCGAAAGTTGTTGGTCTTAATAACCTGATCCTGTATTGCACAGACAAAACCCTCGGTTTCCCTGAAGAGGTCATCGAAACGTAGCCAGTTGAGGGTGGCGACTGTATCTACGAGGGGCTCATGTAGTGCCCTGTAGTACCTCCCGTGCAGCTCCTTCTCCTTACATACGGTCTCCCGGTCGGAAATGTTATGTACTGCTGGGTCCTGCTATTGCTCGTTGGCTAAGGATAGAGGAGTAAGCTATTTATCACTATAAATGACGTCATTATAGAATGGATCATCCGATCTCACCAGGAAATAATGATGGAGGCTGCACACTTCGAGATTATGCATGGTGAGCGTGCTCAGAAAGCCACGCCCACCATGCTTTCGCGGCAAGTACAGCCTCATTACCAACGATCTCGGATGATGCATCCTATGGGACGTCATGGTAGTATGGTCTTTTCTATCCAGGGCGTTAAGTTCAGTCTGAGTCCACCTGAGTATGTAACAGGCATGACCCAATCGTTATATGCGGGTGTCTTATTCAGACCGGAAAAAAGGCTGTTAAGCACTTTGATCAAGCGTGCATAAAACACGTCGCAAACTGAATCCCTCCAATAAGGTACTGAGAGGTTTCAAATAGAGGCAGAACCAGATTGGACTCAGCCGGTCGCCCTGGAAGATACCTCTCTTATCCTTATGCGGTTTTCCGCAGCCGTCATCCGCTAGCCCAGATGACAAAGGATCGTACTCCACTGCCCCATACACTGTCCGAGGAACTCTCTAACTGTACAGTTAACCTAGTACCGCTCGAGAACCCCCTTTAGCCATGTATGGGGCACCGAGTAGAATGCCTTTCTGTAGTCTATCCAGGCGGCGGATAAGTTCCGACGGTTGCGTTTCACCACTTTGCCAATGACCGCGTCAATGAGAAATGGTTCTTTGGTTCCACGACCACCGCCCCGACATCCATTTTGAGCACGCACAATCACCTAATTTAGCTCCAGGTGACGAGTTATTCTCGCGCTCAAAATGGATGTCAGTGTCATATATGGTGGGTAGACACATGATAGGGCGGTGTTTGCTCGGGTCTGTGGTATCCTGATCTTTAGGAACTAAGTGTGTGATCCCAGTAGTGAAGAAACTCGAGAGCGACATCTGCTAGAGAGCCTCTTGAAACTGCCGGGCGAGCACAGTGTGACACACTACGAACCCCTTCAGCCAGTAATGATGCAGCCCGTCGTGCCCGGGAAATTTCCAGCTCGGGGCCCTACGGACCGCTTCAGCCACGTCTTCCGGCATTATTGTGGTGCGAGTGTTACGCCTGTGGACCTCCATAGGCGTAATACTCGCACCCTGGCTCGCTACAACTTCCATCCAAGGGCCCTCATTGTAGTTTACGGTCTCTGACCACAGGCCACGCCATAATGCGACAGTGTCGGCCTGATCCGGTCCTGGGCCCGCTCCATATACTTTTAGTTGCTCCAATGATATATAGAGCCTCTTCTGATCACTATGAAAGAGATGATTCTGGTTGAACCGCCTTGACCTCTCGGTAAATCATGGAATTCGCTTCCCACAAGCAGCGATTTTTTTACTTCAGGTCATCTATGCGCTCCGTTAGTTTCTGTGTGATATCCGGCTGGGACAAACTGATATTTGTCGCAGTAAACGCCATTTTAACGGTGCGCACAACACTCGGTCAATTATTACCCGACCTTAAGCTTGTCATTCTACCGATAAGGGCCCTTGCCTTTGCGATACGGTCCTCGATCCTTTTTCTCCAGACGTAACAGTTATGTGACAAAACTGCTACATCGGCGCAGTCAGTCAGCGCCCTATCAAGAGTTTTGAGGGCAGTGTCTAGGCAAAATTGTGGGTGCAAAGGTCCGTTTGTGCATATGACCGAACCACGAAACGGTGTCGGGCGCGCGGGCGTCTCCCGCTAATTGCCGCCCACAAAATGGATGATGACACAGAGGGGAACGCCTATAGGACCACTGCCTGGGGGTCACCAGGGTGCGTCTAAAGCTGGCGCTGGGCGTGGCAGCATTCGGACCGCCCGCCGAGCGCGAGGAGCTGCACGATCACCTAGCAGCCCCCCGCATCCATCATCCCCACCAGAAGGCTTGGTGTTGACTGGTTCTTCTCGAACTCAGCAAGCGGCACCCATCGCTGATGGAGCACGTCGCATGCGTTGGACAAAAACTATGAACCAAAACGCATTTCGGGTGTACTATAGGACGAAAGGGGAAGAAACTGCAGGGACAGCATATAGGGCTTGGATGCATTGCTTTTTTGCTGAGCTGGAGCCATCTATTCCCGTCAAGGAACAAAACCTGGCAGACCGAGCTTGGTACATCACGCGTTCGAAAATATTTGATGATGTCGGACGCGAACGACTATGACGTGAGGCTATTTAATCGCCTCATCAAATGAATCGGCTATGGCTGGGGATGCGGCTCCTCAGGCGACAGACCGTCGACTCGTAAGTAAGCATATATAGGTATAGGTACGAGTCGTATCATATTGTACCTGTCTATAATATAATATAGGTATCGCCATACGAGAAGGCTCTTTTGGTGCACCCAATTATTACTTGAAATTGTTTTATAAATAAACGCTGGTTATATCAATCAATTACAATATATTTGTTTACTACGTAGATGTATTCAACCTTTAGTGGGTTATGGTTAT